TAAGCCTACTGGGCTCTATCATATCTTCACTTGAAACTGTATATGGAGTCAGCCTCCATATACACTGTGTGTGTGCGTGTGTTTACTAGTTGTGTTTTTACGGGGGTTGAGCTTTGCTCTTTCGGCCCGCCTCTCAACTGTCAATCAACTGTTTACTAACTACTACTATTTTCTTTTCCCCACACCACACACACACACACCCCAGGAAGCAGCCCGTGACAGCTGACTAACTCCCAGGTATCTATTTACTGCTAGGTAACAGGGACACTTAGGGTGAAAGAAACTTTGCCCATTTGTTTCTGCCTCGTGCGGGAATCGAACCCGCGCCACAGAATTACGAGTCCTGCGCGCTATCCACCAGGCTACGAGGCCCCCACACACTGTGTGTGTGTGTGTGTAACTACCTAAGTATAGTTACAGAATGAGAGCTAGGCTCGTGGTGTCCCGTCTTCTCGGTGCTGTCAATTGACGGCATCCTCACCCGTCTTTCTTAACAATGTCTCAACCGTCTACAACTCTGTCTACAAAAGAGAAGTTTCTTATATATTGACGCCACCTTTGTTTCCTTAGCTTGAATCTACGACCTCTTGTGAAGCTGTATGTTTCAAAAGTTCCTCCTTGTCTGTTTTGTTGGCTTCTGTTACTCTCACGTTAATGTGACTTATTTCTGCATTTGGTGAGAAACGTTCGAGGTAGAAAACCTGGACGAGCGTTTCTGTGGATTCCACTGAAGCCTAACGAGGGTTTCACACAATCCCTCCCCCCCTCCCCCCGACCATTCACTCTTGGGGGGGGGGGCAGAGTGCATGGGGGGAATTGTGTTAAACCCTGGTTCGGCTTCAGGAACCCTCGTGGATTCAGTAGAATTCCAGGTTGCAATTCTTTTGACTTTGTCGTGGTTTAGAGTCTACATCGTTTGCTTGGGAATACCTAGACCAAGCTCATCACGGCTTCTACTGATTTTCTTATTTATACTTCACGTTACTGTGATTACTTTGTGCAAAGGGGGATATTAATTAGGTTTTCAGTATATCAACACAAAATAAAACTCGAATCAATCTAAGGAAACAAGCTCTAATTATACGGAAGCAGATGGTGGGAGTGAGGAGGGTAGAGGCAGGTAGCAATTGACCTCAGATAAGGTCAGCGGGGCCTGACAGCTGAGTGGACAGCGCTCGGGACTCGTAGTCATAATGTTCCGGGTTCGATCTCCGGCGGAGGCGGAAACAAATGGGCACTCTTTCAATCTGATGGCCCGATTCACCTATCAGTAAATAGGTACCTGGGCTGCTACGGGCTGCCAACTTCAAAAAGGAGGCCTGATCGAGGACCGGGCCGCGGGGTCGGTAAGCCCCGAAATCATCTCAAGATAACCTCAAGAAGGTACCACCATCGCTACCAGCCCGGCCACCAAGGTTTTACTAAGGGAGGATATCATCAATAAAGTTTAAAACTACATGAACAAATCCACAAGGGCCGTGACGAGGATTCGAACCTGCGTCTGAGAGCATCATCGGACAAAACTACATTAAATACCGAACAAAGACCATCACAACACTGTGATACCAACAATAATATCTATACAGTGGCCACAGTCGTGTCTTACACGAAATGCAACAAAAATGCTGAGTCTCCAAACTACATAAATGCAATTACACACACAAAATGTGGCAAACTACCAGATACTTTAAGAGAAAAAAGGAATGGCAAATACCTCGTTATTCTGGATTTGCGCTGATAATACACAAATTACTCTTTCTCTATAATAAATAATTCTCTCTTTCTGATAATACTCTAATTACCTTTCTGAAAATAGCAAATTTGTTGAAAAATATTTCCTCTGAAGAGGATAGACAGCACTTCGTTACTGCATGTTCAGAAATAGTTGAGAAATGCCAACGGGAAGTGCAGAGAGTCCAGGCAGGTGGAGACACGGATGAACTACAACACGATAGCACAGTGGTAGAGAGTACGAATGAACAGAGGGCGGGAACAGACCCAGACAGACTACACAAAAGGAAGTTAGTGAGCAACAGCAGAATTCTGCAGGATCCCAGGATACATCTATCAGCAAAGCCCCAACACAGAGTGTAGTGAAGATGGACCATAGCAAACAAAGCTTTAACGTGGAACTTGCCGATATTATGCACGAAGTGGGTGTAAACACGAGCTGTCAGCAAGAACAAATGGAACGTGTAAATATAACAACCCACGAAACTGTAGGAATACCCTAAATAGGGTATTTAGTGTCAGGAACGTGTCACTCTAATGACTGCAAATACTTATTGACCAGACCACACACTACAAGGTGAACTAGGGACGACGACGTTTCGGTCCGTCCTGGACCATTCTCAAGTCGATTGTGAATTGACTTGAGAATCATCGTCCCTTCACCTTCTAGTATGTGGTCTGGTCAAGATACTTCAGCCACGTTAATGTGACTAGCCGTCTACAAATACTTCCACCCGAAACAGTAAAAATTCGCTAACCAAAAAGGAGTGATTTAACAAAATGTCCAGATGTTCATATCAAAGGAACAAAGCAAGTAAAGTCAGAACATCCCCATTATGAACACAGTAACACCCATACACACCAGGAGGATTTTTTAGTAAGAGAAAGCTAAAATGAATGGCAAGAAATGTCCAAACAGTACCGTCAACTCTGTCAGATGCTAAACTGAACACAGATAATGAGACAGAACCACAGATACTAACACCAAGGAATATACACAACACTTCCACAAATACCACATCTTACATATTTGCCAATATGTAAGATCAATACAATATGTAAGAAATATGTAAGAAACGTCGTCGTCCCTTCAATTTCTAGTGTGTGGTCTGGTCAACATATTTGCCAATATACAAGGTATCAAAACACGCTATACAAACAAAGTCCACTTTATAACTGGCCTCTTAAATGAAGCAAATGAAATGGTCGCAGCTTTAACTCATATTAAGGACTATTATAACATTGTCAAATATGGATACCAGAGTGCAGTGTTTTCAGGTGCGACAGGAACCACAGGCTGGGGTCAGCCTCTACACACTCACCTGCACAGAGATGCTATACACCACAAACAATATGGTGGAAGTGCTGATAACTCAAATAAATTTTTTTTAATGTGTTGATTGTTCTTGTATATTTTACCTCATACAAATCTTCAGTAGTTTAAAGACCAATTTATGAAACAGAACTAATAGAACAATGCTAATATAATAGAACAATAGAACAGTGAAATAGAACACTGGTTAGAAAACCTTACAAACCCTGCCCCCTATCTTGAGAGATGATTTCTGGGCTTAACGTGTCCGCGGCCCGGTCCTCGACCAGGCCACCTTGTTGTTACACATTCTCAGGAAGAAGCCCGTAGCAGCTGTCTAATTCCCAGGTACCTATTTACTGTTATGGGAACTGGAGCATCAGAGTGAAAGAAACTGCCCATTTGTTTCATATGAAAAACAAGTTTTATTTGTTTTAAAATATAGCAACATTTTCTACTGCTATAACATCAACTTTAGAACACTTACCCACCAGGAGACTCGAACCCTAGCCATCACAGATGTTTCAGACTGGCATAGCTGGTATGCCTTTAACCCAGTACTCAGGACGGGAGACATCTCCCGTCACGCAGGGTGCAGTCGCACCTCCACAGTTCTCCAGTATCATCTATTGATACTGGTAATGGTTTAAAAGGGCCACCACTTACGGGCTATTCATGCCCGTGCCACCTTTTGGGTGGCCTAATCTTCATCAATCAATCAACAAACTCAGACTCCTAAAAGGGGATAACATTTGCTATACCATTTGTAAAATTCCACTATAAAAATAATCAAAGTAAATGTAGCAACATAGAAAATTTATATTATTTTCAATAGCATGCATATATTAACTGGAATACAGCTTTTGAGGCAGAAATGACATTTGTAAAAATGATGAACGGAGAAAATAACTGAGATTCAGAACTATTCAACTTAAATTACTAATTAACGTAGACAAAGCCAGGAAGAGATTAACAAGGGGTCAAGGATGGAATATAGACACAAACAAGTTTCAGAGGTTAGAAAGACATTTTGTTCTGCCTTAGAGCTGTCCATAAGTGGAACAGGTTAGACAAAGTTGTTGAAGCTGGCACGATTGAAAATGTTATATGTAAATATGATAAAAGGGTTATCTTGAGGTTATCTTGAGATGATTTCGGGGCTTTAGTGTCCCCGCGGCCCGGTCCTCGACCAGGCCTCCACCCCCAGGAAGCAGCCCGTGACAGCTGACTAACTCCCAGGTACCTATTTACTGCTAGGTAACAGGGGCATTTAGGGTGAAAGAACTTTGCCCATTTGTTTCTGCCTCGTGCGGGAATAGAACCCGCGCCACAGAATTACGAGTCCTGCGCGCTATCCACCAGGCTACGAGGCCCCCAAGGGTGAGCAATTAGTCATTTTATTAATCAAAGAACTATCGATCTAAGCTTGGCGCCTAGATCGATCATGCAAACACCTCTTGGTGAACATCCACAAACAACCAAACAAGGTAATTATGAAAAAAAAAACAAATTTATTAAAAATATTTTATTTTAAAATTTAAAAGCAATTATCAAAAGGCACAAAGCCAATAGATATCGGGTTCGTGACGACATTTTTCCCATGTTATTATTATTCAATAATAATTTATAGAGTAACTAGATTAGGACGCCAGTAGCACTTGTACTATTACCGTACACATGGACGGGGTTTACACTGTTCAAAGTTCCCTTTTGATAGCCTAATCCAGACTATAATTTTGATAGCATTGTTCACTCCTGTGCAGGCGATGAGTCACAATAACGTGGCTGAAGTATGTTGATCAGACCACACACTAGAAGGTGAAGGGACGACGACGTTTCGGTCCGTCGTGGAACATTCTCAAGTCGATTCCTGTTCACTCCTGTCTTCCCGTGAACTCACCTCCTGTTTCCTGTCTTCCTGTTCAGGAATGACGGTCACTGGATTAGGACAGGCATTCTAACGGGTCTTTGGCTTCCTACGATTCCTTCGACTCCTACGATTCCTTGGCTTCCAAGGCTTGAGGGAAGCTATGAATATGTGAAATCTTTCCATTAGGAGGTGCAGGACCCTTCCAAGCGATGGCCGCCTTTTAGGGTTGGGGTGAACAGCTTCCTTGCATATCTGCTCCAGTAGCGGGAATTGCATGGGAATCATCTTCAGGATCTGCAGCATCAGTACTCCGTACGAGAACACGTCAGCTGCGAATGTACTGCATTCGTGACGAAGTACTTCAGGGGCGTATATTGGGGCAACATCTGGGCCTCCTTTTATGTCGATATATTCATTGTTGCGACAGGCCAATCCAAAGTCAATTATGCTGACTTCGGGATTGGCAGGCGAGCCCTCGACCATAATATTGTCGCTCTTGAGGTCGTTGTGTACAATACCCGCCTTGTGGATTTGTAATAACTCACTGCCAACCTTAAGCCCGACGTAGATTAAATAGTGAGTGTAACTTGGATTTTTGAACCAGTCATAAAGCCTCTGGCTTCCTTTGTAGGAAGTGAGGATAGCTAAAGGCTTGTCAGCTACAGCTAGCAGTATTGGAGCGCCACCAGTACCGTTCAGGTAGCTCAATAACCTCGCTTCGGAAGTGAGAGATTCTTTACAGGCAGACGAGATGGCTACTTTAAGAGCTGCCGGCTTTCCTTTATAGTTTACCAGGGCTACTTTACCATATGATCCAGAGCCTAGAGACTTAATCTTCAACTCCAGTAAACTGTTCACTGTCTCTTCACTAAGGTAGTTCATTTTCAAACGACTAAAATATAGTACTTTGCAACACCTTATATCCAAGACGATTTAATCTCTTGGAAGGTCTGTGGATGTCACAATAATGAAGCAGGCAATGATGATGAAGATGAAGATTAAGCCACCCAAAAGGTGGCACGGGCATAGCTCGTTAGTGGTGGCTCTGTTGAGCCATTACCAGTATCAAGAGCTAATACTGGCGATCTGTGGAGGCGCGACTGCACCCTGCGTGACGGGAGATATCTCCTGTGAAGCTGCAAATCTAACCACAGAATTTATACGCTTAGAGGGTGAGGTGAACGGCGGGAAGGCTGATCGATTGATTGATTGATGAAGATTAAGCCACCCAAGAGGTGGCACGGGCATGAATAGCCCGTAAGTGGTGGCCCTTTCGAGCCATTACCAGTATCAAAAGATGATACTGGAGATCTGTGGAGGCGCGACTGCACCCTGCGTGAAGGCTGATCCAGTCAAACTCGTTCATATAAGAACAAAAGAGCATAAGAATAAAGGTAACTGCAGAAGGTCTATTAGTGTATATGAATGGGACCCAATCCCACTCATATACACGTCCAACCCGCACTTGAAACAATCGAGGGACCCCACCTCCACCACGTTATGCGTTAATTGGTTCCACAAGTCAACAACCCTGTTACCGAACCAGTATTTACCCATGTCTTTCCTAAATCTAAACTTAGTAAATTTAAACCCATTGTTTCATGTTCTGTCTTGTGTTGTTACTGCTCTGATATTTAAGCTTTGTCAATCATTCTTCATATGACAGGTTTCTAATTTGCGGGATTAACTTTGTCATCCTACGCTGGATGCGTTCTAGTGAATTATTATTCATTCTTTAGTACGGTGACCAAAACTGAATTGCATAATCTAAATGGGGCCTAACCAGAGCAAGATATAGCTGAAGAACCACACCAGGTGCTTAAGGGCAAAAAGAAACTATGAAGTTCGCATAGCAGGGCAAACAAAGACAAAGCCTAAAGTTTTTTGTTCAGTTAGGTCGAACAAAGATTAGAGAACGGATTGGTCTATTAAAAACTAAAACCGGTCAGATAACGGATACTAACGAAGAGATGAGTAGTATTTTTAATAAATATTATATATCTGTATTTACTAAAGAGGAACTTAACACTATGCCTTCTGCCTAACAAGTCTATGTGGGTGGGGACGAGGATAGGTTGACTAGATTAGCAGTTACCAGGGAGGATGTTATTAAACAAATAGTGAAACTCAAACCAAACAAATCCCCAGGGCCGGATGAAGTGTTTGCCAGAGTACTTAAAGAATGCAAAGAGGAGCTTTGCGAGCCACTGTCTACCATATTTAATAAATCATTAGAGTCAGGCAGAGTGCCAGAGTCATGGAAGGTAGCTAATGTGGTACCAATTTTCAAGAAAAGAGATAGATAACTTGCGTCGAACTATCGGCCAATTAGCCTAACGTCCATTGTGGGAAAGTTACTTGAATCAATAATTGCAAATACAATTCGTCTTCATCTTGAAAAACATAAATTAATAAATGATTCACAACTTGCTTTTACAAATACCCGTTCATGTTTAACAAATTTGCTATAACTTATTTAAAAATATTCTAAGCAAAGCACAGGAACGTAGAATACAATACAAATTGTCACTAGAATACTAATGACTACTAGAGGGGTGACATGATAGAGGTTTATAAGTGGATGAATGGACATACCAAAGGGGATATTAATAGGGTATTAAAAATATCAACACAAGACAGAACAAGAAACAATGGGTATAAATTGGATAAGTTTAGATTTAGGAAAGACTTGGGTAAATACTGGTTCAGTAACAGGGTTGTTGATTTGTGGAACCAATTGCCGCGTAACGTGGTGGAGGTGGGGTCCCTCGATCGTTTCAAGCGCGGGTTGGACAAGTATATGAGTGGGATTGGGTGGTTATAGATAGGAGCTGCCTCGAATGGGCCAATAGGCCTTCTGCAGTTACCTTTGTTATTATGTTCTTATGTTCTTATGAAAAAATTGGTATCACATTAGCAACCTTCCACGACTCTGGCACTCTGCCTGACTCTAATGATTTATTAAATATGGATCACAAAGCTCCTCTTTGCATTCCTTAAGCACCCTGGCAAACACTTTGTCCGGGCCTGGGGGTTTGTTTGGTTTGAGTTTCACTATTTGTGATAACATCATCCCTGGTAACTGTTAGACTAGTCAGCTTGTCCCCACCCACATAGACTTGTTAGGCAGAAGGCATAGTTACGGTCTTCTTTAGTAAATACAGAGATAAAATATTTATTAAAAATACTACTCATGTCTTCGTCATTATCCACATCTGACCTGTCTCAGGTTTTAATGGACTTTGCTTGCCCTGCTATACGAACTTCATAGTTTCTTTTTGCCCTCGTTATCTCTTTTTTAACATTTCTAACTAGTTGTACGAATTCTTGTTCTAAACTGACTTCCTCATTCTTAATCCTTTTGTACCAAGTTTTTTTCTACATATAAGGTTCTTCTGATCATTTGTTATCCATTTCCGGTCATTTGTATTCGATCTATTCAATTTGTATAGTATACTACGTTCCTGTGCTTTGCTTAGAAAATTTTTAAATAAGTTATATTTTGAATCTACATCAAAATACCTTTTTATGTCACCTGTCGCTGGGTTCACGTCTTGCTCCAAGACCGCCCCCCCCCATGCCCAAGACTCTCCAATCTATTTGACCCCCAAAATTTCTTTGGATATTAAAATTAGCTTTTCGAAAATCTGGCACTTTAACAGAATTTTCTCTATAGATCTATTCCATTCCATGCTAAATATGAGTTCTTTGTGATCACTGTTCCCTAGTTCACTCTCTATTTCGATGTCATTAATTTGTTTCCCTGTTAGTTAACACTAAGTCTAAAATATTATTTTCCGATGTTGTTTCCATAATGAGTTGAGTGAGAAAATCGTCAATTAATTCTAGAAAATCTTCTGCTTCGTTATTCCCTGTTCGGTTAATCCAGTTTATTCTAATAAAATTAAAGTCACCCATGACACAAAATACCAAGTGTCGTTAGTGATAAGACACCTGGTGTTATATCTTGATATAACGGCTATATCTTGCTCTTGTTAGGCCCCATTTAGATTATGCAGTTCAGTTCTGATCACCATACTAGAGAATGGATATAAGAACATAAGAATAAAGGTACTTAACTGCAGAAGGCCTATTGGCATATACGAGGCAGCTCCTATTTATAACCACAGAATCCAACCCAGGCTTGATTGGTTCTGGTATTCCACAAATCAACTGGTTCCACAAATCAACAACCCTCTTACCGAACCAATATTTACCCAGGTCTTTCCTAAATCTAAACTTATCCAGTTTATAAACGTTGTTTCGTATTCTGTTCTGTCATTGTACACAATGTCATAAAGTGTGATAACATTATGATCCACGGCCCGCCTCTCTACCCCAACATTAACACAATAGATTATAGCTTGGTATCCGAGAACAAAGTAACCATATTCCTGGATGGGGTTCCATGTGGTAATACTACATATGCCCCCAGAAAAAGGCAAGAACGTTTGAACAAATCCACAAGGGCCGTCCAAGAGCATCCCAGACGCTGCCTTAATCGACTGAGCTACGACATGGTCAAAAGAGTTGAAACCGAAACTTACTGGATCCTGCAGCCTCTCCGAGACACAAACCAGGGTTTTACACAACTCCCCCATTTGATGCTTTACGTTATTGTGATTTTTGTGTGTAATTACGTTTGCGTCAGATGTAATTTTTATATGGAAAATTGATGTTGGAGATTCGTAAGCGGGAACCGAAACAACACCGTCGCTGGATAAGCTGTTTCGGGAACAGCAACACACCGATCCCAAGGAGGCGCTCCACCGGTCCTATCTTTCTGCGACGCTTACAGGAAAACACAAGCAGAATCTCATTGATTCCAAAAAAGTCTCGTAAAAAACAGTATGCAAGTGCAACTTCCGAGAGTTTAAAGGTCCAGCACAGCAGGAAACTGCGACAACGCCGGACAAAACGCAGTCATGGCACATCTCCAAAAATTTCCGTTCAACAAGGCATGAAACTGCAGTTACCTTTATTCTTATGTTCTCATGATCTTATACAGAGTATTGGGGATAGAATTTCAGAGATAATGAAGCTTCGACGATTAGACTAATGGGTTTGAAGACTAACTCTGAGGGTTACTTCGCCCGGTCGTACGGCGCAGGACTCTGAGACAGTGCTCAATTAGGTCATTAAGGTCATCAACAAATGTATCAATGTCTTCTGGGATTTGGTATTCCGTGAACCAAATCCCAGATAAACACTCATCTTGTTTATGAAGTGCGGCCACATTCATATCTGGTCCGAGTGATAATCTTTTTCTTTTATTAGTCTCTTTCTCTTGCGCATGTCGACGGTGGTAATCAGTGCTCAGTGTTCACTACAAAACTGTGTAAACTGTATTTAAACTGTATTTTGAGGTGTTTATACTGTAACACAGTATAAACTGTGCACAATGTGTGTATATCACGAAAATAAACACGTGATTAAGAATGTGACAATGTCAGACCACGAAGGAAAAATGAAACAGGAAATTTCCTTAAGTACTTTCGTATATTAAATACATCTTCAGAAGGTCCAAAAAAAAGAAAGAAGACCTTCTGAAGATGTATTTAATATACGAAAGTACTTAAGGAAATTTCCTGTTTCATTTTTCCTTCGTGGTCTGACATTGTCACTGTGCACAATGTGTGTACTGGCATCCGTGTCCTGTGCATTCAGCAGGAGAGCATAGTCTAATTTTCCTCCTCTGAGGTGAGTTGGCTGTTCATCACCCAGGACCAATAAGATTTACACTTCCCCTGACAAAGAGTGACAGTTTCCGTCCATGGACAATTGGGCTGATGACAGTTGGCACCAAAGTGTGGGTGTCTGGCATTAAGGTCACCAACCAGCAGGGTAGGTTTTTCATTAACAAATTCAGGCAGTGTGTCAAG